AGCGCGCCTGCGCCGCTTCACTGCAATCCTCAGGAGCGAGATCTGAGAGGCAGAGAAGGAGGTACGGTAATAGGATACAAGGGCGGGCCAGACGGGTGAAAGAGGCGTGTTTTTCTGGGCACAGCGCCGCTCTTTTTTTCCATACCCCGGGCGTCCCGGACGCCTGCAGCTTGCTCCGCCCTTCACTTACACCTTCCCAGTGAGGCGCCCCCTCACCTCGTCATCGGGCGGGGATGCGGCCGCGGCTGTTTTTGAGCTCCCCCCACCATATGCGGCGACCGCAGATTCTCCAGTCCGGCTCGGAAGTTTCAGCACCCGCCCTATAAGACGACACCCGGCGTATAAGACGACCCCCGACTTTTGAGAAGATTTTCCTGGGTTAAAAAGTAGTCTTATACGCCAGAAAATACAGTAGGTGTTCCTGTTTTAGGCCCTGATTCTACAAACCTGCACATACTTAAGTTTACTCATATGAGAGGTCTCATTGAAGTCAAGGAAATGTGGGAATGTCTAATATTAACAAGGTACAAGCTGTATCTGTGGAAAATACTGAGACAACCTGATGCAAGCACAGTACAGACAATGGGGCTATTCACATGCACAAAATTAGAAGTGCATAAATATTTCCAGAATTAGGGGCTTTATGGATGTACATTTCTGTGCTGGGCCTGCATCAGGTTCTGCAGTGCTTACTCCTTTGTAACAACTAAAATGATGAATTTGCTGTGGAAAGTTCAGGAACACATCCAGTGAAAGAAGGTTAAAGCATGCTTTTTTTGACAGTGATCAATGTGGATTAATTTCTTTTTGAAAAGTTAGTTTATTTGACCAGTTCAGTTTCACAGTATGGGTGTGAGAACATATGCATATATTAAAAGTATAATTTAAATCTGGGGTAGTGATAAGAATAAAGCCTTCTGTCCTTGTCTTCATAGCCCCCAATCCTGCAACTGGTTCTTTGTAAATTATGGCCCCAATCCTACAATGTCACCAGAACTGCTTGATGGAATTACAGGTTCATGTAGAGTTAGATACATTACTTCTTATATTTTAGGGTTATTTGTTTGTATAAACCATAGTTTGTTCTATTAAAACAGGTGTTTTCAGTCCAGTATTTTAATATTACTTTGACTCTTTTTCTTTAGGTTTTGCAGGATGGCTGAGTGGCATGACAATTAATATCTATTCTGATCACATTCTCAGAAATCTGAGAAAACCAGGGGAAACGGGCTACAAAATACCAAGAGGTGAGTAAAAAGTTAAAGAACTTAAAATTCCAAAGGAATGTCTCAAAACTTGGTTCTGTTGTATTTAAAGGACATAAATTGCTCAGGGACATAACAAATATCAAGACCAGGAAACCAATGGGAAGAGGATTTTCAAGTGTATTTCCTGAAACAAGAAATTGGCTTTATTACTCAAAACGAAGGGAAACTGTCTGACTACACTGCAAACACTCTGCCTATCTCTGTGTAATTGCCTGAGAGCAGAAGGCTGCTTTTGTAGAGTCTAGTGACTAGTCATGACCCAAGGCCTGTTAATATTTGTTGCTCTGCAGTTTTTTTTGAGATATTCCACTTCTGCACTGCTTTCTCACAGTTCTTGTTAATGTGTTAATTCTCAGGAGAGTGAATAAACAAGCCTTTCCACTGAATTTTGCAACCATCTTGCAATCTCTTCTTTGGCAGTCATTCTTCTTATTTTAATTTTGAGATTGCCCTCTAACATTGACAGTTGTGAATAAAAGCACCCACCCAAGACTTGATTGCAGGCTTGCTGTGAAACTATCAACATATAAAGGTTTTGCGAAACAAGTGAGAGGTTAGTTGCTGCACAGGTAGAAGGACGCTGTTTTTAAAAATGTATTTACCTAAATAAAATCAACAACTTTAAACCAAAATGTGGTGTAAGAATTTTCATGTCAAATGTGTAAGTACTGTGCTTGGCATCCACTGTACTTTTCTGATCCTGTTTCATTTTTATTACTTAAAGAAAACAGTTTTAAAACTTTGTCCCTAATTTTTGCCTCCCTTAAATTGAACAGCATTTGCTCATCTGAGTACTCTTACTGATTACAGTGGAACTATCTGAGTCAGTGCTCTTCTAAATGAATAAGGGTGCTAAAATCCTTTGATTTATTTTACTTATAATTCCCAGTAGTGAAGAGTTGACTTTAGGCTCATACAGTTGTGAAATACAATTTAGGACTCTTTAATACCTTGTCTCTTTCACTAGGTGCCAGAGTTAAAACAGTAAAGTTTTACTCCTGAGATTCTTTTGTTCCTGTTTCCTAGTGAGGCTTTTTTTAACCAAACTTTAAGCAAACTAATTCTGTGGTTTAAGTGGGTAAAATACTTAGGACTAAACTGTCATTCAGAAGAGTAAAATTGTGGAGAGTTTGGCACTAAATTTCTAAGAAAAACAAGGAGTCCGGTGGCACCTTAAAGACTAACAGATTTATTTGGGCATAAGCTTTCGTGGGTAAAAAAAACCTCACTTCAGATGCATCTGATTAAATTGTGGATACAAACTAACACGGCTATCCCCGATACTTAATTTCTAAGGTGCCACTAGGTTACAGAAATTAAACATTGTATTAATCTGACTAAATGACCCTTTGAAAACAGTATGGTATTATTCAAAAAGGCTATCATTTATAAATAGAAATATCACACTTCTGAGTTCTCATAAATTCTGGCTCTCACATATATTTCAAAACTTGGAAGCAGTTAGTTGAATGTGTACTTGTGGGGCTCTGTGACCAGATTGGCCATTGCTTTACAGGCATTTGTCGAGGATTTCTAGTAGGCTTTGTGCCAAATTTTCAAGCATAGGTACTAGCAACATGAGAGAATTCATGAGAGAGTGACATCTGCATGTGAATAAAGGTGTACTGTTAGGTGAATTGTACATGCAAACACTGGAAACCATACACATTTTGCTACTTTTTTTCTAATGATTACATTGTAACAAGCTGGTAAATTATTACAGGTGTTTTGAAATCATTGATCAGTCTTGTATATCTATATTCCTATTTTCAGAAATGTCAGTAGGCTTTTCATTCAGTCATAAGAGCCTACTGTACCAGCATAATTGATGTCTAGAGTACTCTGTATTATGTGTTGCACCATTATGAATGTAGATATGCTTGTTAACCTTAGAGGGAAAAATTAGAGCTGTTTTCTGCTCTTATTACTACTGGGAGTAGTCTCACTAACTTAAGTGGACGCAAGACTGGGCCCCTATAGCACACACAAATATGAATAATTCAACCATTTTAGAATTTTCTACATACAAAGACTTTTTTGTGGATGAACAGTCAGCTTTTTTCAGTGTAAAATAATAATGTATGTAGGCACAAAAGTGCCTACTGAAACCAGTTAACTTATTTTGTCCACACTTTAGTAATTTAAGAAAATTGTCTGAAAGTTGAGATTTCAGAACTGCTTAGCCCAAAAGAAACTCATAGTAGAAACCTTGCAAAGAAGTAATTCTTTCACCACAAATGGGATTAATAAAGGAAATTTAGCCAGCCCTTCCTGACGGAACTGTTAGTACAATTACAGGTACCATTGCAACTTTCCTTGCATAGAGTAATAATAATGTGGTGTTCTTTAGGTGGATTGTTTGAATATGTAACTGGAGCCAACTTTTTTGGAGAGATTCTTGAATGGTTTGGATTTGCTCTTGCCAGCTGCACTATTGAAAGTGCTGCTTTTGCCTTATGCACACTTTTCATCCTAGGTTCCAGGGCACACCAACATCATCAGTAAGTTTTTGAAATTTTAAAATTTCAATCTCCTCCTCTTCACTTTTCCTCTAAATAATGTGCTATTGAATCTCAAATTCTAGAGTGTAAAAATATTTCTAGAACATAAAGATAAGGGGTTTTTATATGTAGCCATACAAAAATGTTGACTCCAAAGTATTTTTTCTTTTGATAAATTTACGTTTGGATTACTTAAAGCATTTTTAAATAAAATAATTTATACTAATCTCATGGGGCTTTTTAAGAAATGGCAGAGGGAGAATATCATGTAAAAAAAAAGGGGGGGGGAGGGCATTTCCTGAGCAGGTATAAATTGGCATAACTCAGTTGAATTAAGTCACTAGATGAGGATCCTGCCCAATGTTACTTAGAACACTTTCCTGGAACTTAAGGAATTTTAAAAATCCAATTTACTTGCAAGTATTTGTTGATTGCTTACTACTTGCATTTCACTCAGCTGAAACATTAAAAACAATTCTAATTTTCATAGATTCCAGGGCCAAATGGGACCATTGTGTTCATCTAGTCTGACCTCCTATATAACACAAGCTATATAACTTCCCAAAATAATTCCTAGAGCATAGCTTTTAGAAAAACATCCAGTCTTGGTTTTAAAAGTTGTCAGTGATGGAGAATCCATCACTAGCCTTGGTAAAATGGATGTACTAGCAATTAATATTGGAATACTTGGGATGCAAATACTCCAGAGAAGTATCTATGTTAAACCCCTAAAGTAATTCAGTCAATATTGGGCTTTTAAAAAACAGAGGATCGGCTTCATAGTTGTGTTTTGGACCCTTTATGTTGCCTGCGGAGTACAAGAGGGCCAGAAAGTGGGCAGATCCTTAGCTGATGCATCCAGCCCCTCCACACTCAGTTGTGACACAGGAGACATGAAGAGGAACATAGCTGGAACATTCACGGTAGCGTAATCCCCAGGTGGCTTTAACTTGCATTAGGCTCAGGATCTAATCTATCAGTAAAGATCTACCCTGAAAATTGGGGAGCCATAACCAGTTCCCTGGCAGACCCACAACATAACAGACTACTGAGCTGCTGAAATTACAGCCTATCATGCTGACTAAAACTGTTCCACTGATTTCCTTCTACTCCCCTCTCAATCTCTCTATCATCTATTATGTCCTATATTATATTAGTCCCTGCCCCAAAGAGCTTACAATCAATCTTTTTGTTCTGTTTTTGTATAGCGCCTCACATGGGGGTCCTGCTCCATGCCTGGGACTCCTGGGTGCTATGGTAATCAAGATGCTCTTTAGTTGCTGACCAAGAGATACACGCCCTGATCATGCAAAAACTTTAGAGTAACTTTATGAATGTAGCTGTTCCTATTGAGCTCAATGGAACTGTGCATGTGTAGGTTTGGGGCCATATTTAGAACATGATCATGTAAACTACCAACATTTATGAAGAGTTAAACACTATATCTAGTTGTAACATAAGGTCTGAAAGATTTGTAAAGAATAATTATAAAAAGCTCCTAACCTAACGATAGCATAGCCAATTTCATTTTTCCCTTTTTTAACAGAGTATGTTAATTGTCACTTCTAAGGAACGTTAAGTGATTGTTTAAAGCACCCTATAAAGCAAATGAGATATTAGGTAGTTTATTCAAATAACCTCTCCAGTCAAACAAGCTATACGGATAAGACATTTAATAATCTAATAATACATTGCAATTAATAAAAGTCTGCTGTGTGAATCATAAGACTGATTAGTTTTGAATAATATGTTCATATTCAGCTCTTATCTGTGTTAGGTCTATAAAGACAAGCACAAAGTTTTAATGTAAGCATTTATTGGGGAAAGTCACTTAATTATTAAAAATGGTAATCTAAATCAGTTTAAGCACTTAGTCTTATTTTATGTATTTGATTATTTTCCACTTCCTTCTCACGTCTCGGAAAAAATGAGGTTAAGGGAAGGAGGAAAGGATCTGAAATAAGGTGTATACATGGCAGGGTGGATTTGATTTAAATCACTAGTCAGGAAGACTCCATTTAATTATGGATGTCTACATAAAAGTGCATTCTTGTTAGTTGTTATAACCTTAAAACATATTCTTCACAACTGAGAGATATAGGTTTAATTTTTAGAAGGTACACACTATACATTTTTAAAGTGATTTATTTTGAAAACTTTTCAGATTAGTTTTATAGCTATATCAGAAAGTGAATGATTATTTCATTTACCAAAGGTAATTGAAGCAGATATTTATGAAGTCATTGGGAGGTGAACTATCTCCAATTCAACAGGTTAATCATTAATATATGGAGGATTTTCTTGCCATGCTCTATTAAGAGGAGAACATCACCAGACAGACCTTTACATTGTTTTATTTAACTAAAACAACATTATGTATTCTGGATTTTTTTCTTCAACCGCAAACATATAATATTTTAACAAAAAAGGGTATGAATTTTTGAATTTAGTTAAACATGCAAGTTTTTTAAAATCAGGTTTGTTTTTGTTAAAATTGTTTAACTAAAATAGTCAATTTAATTTTTTTTTTTTTAATATTTTGTTTAACTGTGTCAGCCAGGTCAACATGAGAAACTTAAAATATTGGCTTCTGTGGCTAACTCAGTCGTCTTCAACCTCATTTTTCTGTTTGGTCTTTATTCTGT